AACAGACATTTTCAAAAGAAAACATATGAATGGCCTATAGGTACATGAAAAAGCACTCCACATCAGTAATCATTAGGAAAATGCAAACAAAACCACAGTGAGACATCGACTCATACCTGTTAGAATGGCTAGCATCAAAAATACAAAAGCAACAAGTACTGGTAAGGATGTGGTCAAAAGAGTCCTTATCTACCATTGATGGGATTGTAAATTGGGACAGCCATTTTTTTTTTTTTTTTTTTTTTTTTTTTTTTTTTTTTTTTTTTTTTTTTTTATTTCTAGGAGAGAGAGAGAGAGACAGCGTGAGCACGGGAGGGTCAGAGAGAGAGGGAGTCACAGACCGAAACAGGTTCCAGGCTCTGAGCTGGCACTCAACACAGAGCCTGACGCGGGGCTCGAACCCACGAACCGCGAGATCATGACCTAAGCGAAAGTCGGACGCTTAACCGACTAAGCCACCCAGGTGCCCCGGTACAGCCACTTTCTAAAACAGAATGGAGTTTCCTCAAAAAATTAAAAATAGAACTATCATCTCATCCAACAATGCTACTTCTGGGAATATATTCAAAGGAAATAAAATCACTATGTTGAAGATATATCTGCATCCCTATATTCATTCATAGAAGCATTATTTATAAATGCCAAGACATGGAAATAACCTAAGTGTCCCCTGATGGATGATGAATTGATAAAGAACATATACACGATGGAATAAAAGCCAAGGAAATGCTGCCTTTTGTGACAATATGATGGAAATTGAGGGACTTCAATGCTAAGGGAAATAAGTCAGACAAAGACAAATACTGTAAGATCTCACATGTGAAATCTAAAAAATAAATCATTTTATAAATGATTTATAAATAAATAAATAAGCAGACTCATAGAAAAAAAGAGATCAGAGATGTTACCAGAGGAGAAAGGGAGGGGAGGGAGAATTTGAGGAAGGCAGTAAAAAGTTACAAACAACTAGTTGTAAGATAAAAAAGTACTAGAGATGTAATATACAACATGATGACTAGAGTTAACACAGCCGTGTGGCATATTTGAAAGTTGTTAATTAAGTAAATGCTAAGAGTTATCATCACAAGAACAAACTTTTTCCCCCTTTTTTTGTATCTATATAACAGGTGTCACTAAAGTTATTATGGTAATCATTTCATAATACACGTAAGCCAAATCATTAAGCTATACACATCAAACCGATACAGTCCTATATGTCAATGATATCTCAAGAAAACTGGGAATTTTTTAAAAAAGATAAATTATACTTAAAACAATATCATAGATAGATATTGGCTATTGAGCTTTCTAGCCTGAAAGGCACTGTCTTTATTTTATAGAGCAATGGCTGTGCTCTAGGCTACCACATACCACATCCCTCTGTAGGAACACTTCCTTTATGGCTGTTAATTTATTTGAACCTAAAAGCAAATTCATTTTCTCAGGAGCTAGGAACAAAACGTGTCATCAAGCAGCCTCTAATATGGGGGAATTATATTATAACATGGAAGGAAACAGTATTTGTTATCACCTACTCTTAAAGTTTCCAATTAAAGAAAATCTTCACTCTGACAGACTTTGACTAGTTCTCCATTCCTCTTTTTCTGCAGAGAAGCTTTTTCAATCACAAAACCTTTGACACTTTCATAATATTGCGAAAGAGAGATAATATTAGAATTTATCACATAGTATTTTGTGAAAATTAATGAGGTGTAGAGAGGTGAGAATACAAGTATCAGGAAGGTCATTTGGTATCAACAATGACTTATGTGTCATGGTTAAATACCAAACAAAGGTATGGTTTTATTATTAAGAAAGATCACATATTAACACTAATTAAGAAGCTATTCTATGATTATTAATATGGGACTATTCTATATAAATGCTTAGACAGAAAAAATGCTGCAGTGGAATTCATTCATTCAACATATATTGATAAAATTTTACTATGTGTGTAAGTAGAGCTAATACAATTATTTGACATTAACATTATAATATGTTTACTAATATGTCTTAGTTACTCAAATATTAATTTACTTAGGATCTTTTATCTCCATTCTCATTAATAATTTTATTAAGTTTTTGTATCAATTCCTATATATATTTACTTATGTTTATTCAGTTATACCATGACAATTTTTAAACAGTTTTTGGAGTGATTGTTTCACATATGACTATGTGGGATGCTAAAATGTAATGTAGCAATCATCCACCCTTGACATAAATCTGAGAGACCAGATGTCCTGGACTGATGTATTCATTCATTCATCTTTATTGGCCAGTTGCAGGGACATTCATACAAGACAGATATGGTGAATCTGGATTCTTTTTCTAGCCACATTCAAGTCCCCATGTCATAATTTCTGTATCTAAAACATATGGTTACTAATAGTACCTATTCCATCTCTAGTAGACATCCATGACATTATCTCTTCAGCATCCATTCCTCCTCTTTCTGGTAACAGAACATTAATAATCTTACTTTGGGTCATTATTCCTCAACCATTCAAAGTCCACATGGTTTGGATATGGTTTATCCCAGCTTCAGGATCCAGGGTGAATGCAGGCCCACCAATGAGAGCAAGTCACTGGTTGATGATAGGACTGGGATCCAAGCCCCCACAGAATGTCCTATCATGCAGTTTGGGTGGTATTACTAAACTGCTAATTTTCTCAGTGTTGCTAACCTAAGGCAGTCAATGATTTTTGTTGGAAGCTATCTTTCATAAAACAGAACTTTAAGTCTTCTCAATTTACCTGCACTCAGAGTTGAACACCCTTGACATGACCTAATATTCATTTACTTTAACTAGTTTGAATTTGGTTTCTGTCCCTTTCAACCCCAAGAGCACTGAATAATACATTTCACAGAGTAAAATGAGTAGTTGTTGATGTTCATCACAGAATAAGCAAGCTAGTAATCAAGCACTCAATAAGTATTAACCATGAAAAATAATTGGAATTATAATTTATCAATTAATGAGTGTCTCATACAAGTTAAATGAATATAGTGAGCATGGAGAATAATAATAATACAAGTCCCTTGTAGAATGAGCAAATGGAGATATTTCTGAAGAGAGTTTAAAGGAAAAAAAAAAAAGCAAGACTCTACAATTGGTTTAGATTGAAGTAGGGAGAAGATTAACTTTCCTTGAAGCTGGCGATGGCTGGAGGTTTTCATGACCTTCATATATCCTCTAACTTTTATAGGCCCCATGACATATAAAATAAAGCATATTAAAATGTACATTTCCCATATGAAACTTAAGTCTGATAATTATAGACAAAATATTATGTTTTATAGGCATTTAATTAAACATTAATTTCAGCATTTAGTTTGCTTTTCTAATTTGGGGCTAATATGTACATTATTTTTTCAAGATTCCAGTGATTTTTAGAGACCCTCTAAAGGCTTGTAAACCCTAGGTTCTCTAATTCAGGATAAATTAGAGGATAAATAGTCTAGTGCAGAAATAGTCCTGGTAGAGGAGCATCAGGAAAGGCCTCAGGGTGGTCTGACACACATCCTGGAAAATGCCATCTGTCATAGTGGATTACCTATCTTTGGCCATCCCTCAAAAGTCATCCCTAAGTAAACAACCAACTTGAGAGAAATAATGAAAAGTTACTCGTTAGGATCTGCAATGTCACTGCTCGCACATCAGTTTTGCTTCTTCACTGTATTGATGAGATACACCTCTCCTCCTCCTTCAGGTCTGGAGAAGTGGTTGGTAAAAAGATAAGGGATGTGGTGTTTTGTTACTACTGAGACTGTGAATATAATTAGTATCCCTGTGGTGTCAGAGCTTAGGCAATTTCCTCATCTAACAATTTTACCTCCATTTGGAACATCAGTAATTTCATTGTGTACTTTAAGGCACACTTTTTCTGTGCTCTTGAAGATCGATTAATTTGAGGTGCTGCTGAAAGGTAAAAGGACCTGCAGAAAGAATCTAGTAACTCAAGCCCTCAAAATTTCCTGTCGGTCATTTGATTGTTATCAAATCTCTGTTAGATGCAGAGATCCTTTGGGCTAAGATTTTATTTCTGTTATATTACCTCACTAGATGAGACAAGCTGAAAACTAACTGTAAAGTAGACAAATTTACTGACGTTTTATTTATAAAGTCAATACTTATCAGGAGGGGCCTAAGTCCTTCAGTATTTTCTTATGAACGGTATAATCATAGAGTCACTTAATTTCTGTTTATATTTCCTCATATATGAAAATATTATAATAATAACCTTTCATAGCATATAAGATTAAATATTATTAGATGCAGAGAATTTGAAACAGTATGTGACATATTAATATTATTATTATATGATTATTATTACATGTTAATTTTCAGTTAAATAGTTTAAATTGTTTTTTATGTCATCAGGCTTACTATGGCCAAGAATTTTACAGAAACTCAGGCTTAATTTTAGTCTTAAACTGCTGAAGGAGAAACAGCTAGGACTCAGTGAGCATAGAATTCACATTTCTAATTCTGTACGATAAAACATCATTAAGACATAAGCTCATAATTTGCAATTTATAGTAATTTAGAGGAAATTTTATTTTCCAGTGTCCGTGAAAGCAAGGTTTGCCAGACAAATAAATAAGGGGTATTTTTGACTAGCATAAGAGAAAAACATATTTGATAAAATTTAAATGACTCTAGGATCCTTTAGCATATACAAATAAATAAAGGTGCATTCAGTATAAGATATATGGAGATATATGGAAAAGCTATTTAAAAAATTGTTCTTATTTGCATATTACAGTAGGTCTGGGAAGCCATATACTTGACAAAATTTTATTAGTAGTTGGTAAGTTTGTACTATTGTATGTACTGGAAGGAATAAAATTATATTTTCTTCCTACATAGTGTTTCTGACTTTCTCCCTATTCTTCAGTATTACTGAAATTTCTAAATATTTTATAAGACCCAAACTGATATTTAAAGCTAAAAGACCCATTACTCATTTTAAAAAGTAATAGTATTTTTCAAATACTTTTTTTGAAAATTAATCATTTAAAAAGTACTTAAATGATTTGGCAAAATAAGTAACCCATGTTCCATGAAACCTTCCCTCATATAATCATTGCTGATTCTTCACCACGACCAGCAGGTAGGTGAAACTGATGTGGCACTTGTGGGCATACTCCATACTTGTTCTTCATCAGATAGAAGGTTATGGTATAGAACTCCACGTCACCCCTCCCAAAGGAGTTGTGTTAGTTTCTAAGGAGGGAATCAGGGTGGCAGAGGGACAATGTCAATTACTTTTTGTATTTTATACCATAAGCATATAACATCTCTTCCAAAATTAACATACATTTTAAGAATTTAATACAGCTAAACAGTCCTTCTTTATCAGAATATTCTCTTTCCTTGACTTTTATCACCACGGTATCTTCCTCTTACCTTTTGGATCAGTCCTAATTTGACTCTTCTGATGGCTATAACTGTCCTTTACCAGAAGATTCTCTTCTAGATCCTCTAGTATCCTCATTCTGCTCATCCTCCTGAGAAAATCTTGTATGCTCCTATGATTTATTTACACCCTCAGTATCTTCAAATATATACCCATTCATTAATACATATGTATTAAGTGTCTAATATGGGCACTAGGTACTGGAATATAGCAGTGAGTAAATCAGATAAAAATCTTTGTTTTTTGGGGTTCCTGGGCAGCTCAGGTCATGACCTCACCTCTCGTGAGTTCAAGCCCCACATCGGGCTCTGTGCTGAAAGCTCAGAGCCTGGAGCCTGCTTCGAATTCTGTGTCTCCCTCTCTCTCTGCCCCTCCCCCCTCTCAAAAATAAATAAATGTTAAATTTTTTAAAAAAAATCTTTGTTTCTGTGTGTGAACTTTTATTTCATGCAGCAAGATGAAAATAAAATGTGTAAAATATAATATGATAGTAATATGTTCTAAATACACAATACAAGCAGAAAAGGGGAATAAAAGTGTTGGGATAAAACATGTAAATTTTGTATTGGTCCCACCTCACCCCTCACTTCTAGGCTTCAGGTGCATATATAAAAATATCCAGTGTGGGTGGCTAGCAGGTACCTTAACTTATCATACTTAACATGACCCAAACTGAGTGTATTATTTCCAGCCAATTTCTTCTACCACCACTATTGAGGGGTGGTCAGACCAGAAATGTGTGACTCATATTTGGATACCTCTCTCTCATTCCCCATTTTCCATCTGTCACAAAGTGCCATCAGTTCTATCACATAAGTCAGGCCACTTCTCTACATCTTTACTGTCACTATCCTAATTCAGGTGAACATAAATTCTCCTCTGGATTCCTGCAAAAACAGATCTTACTACAGCTACTACCATCTTCCTCCAATGTCACCAAAACTCATCTTGCCATCCCTCTACCTCAACAGATCAATGGTCCCAAATTGCTACTGCCCAGCTCTCCGACTGCATCACTCTTGGGGCCACTCTTACCCTTCTCCTCTAGTCTTAGGGTCTTTCCTTCATTCTTCAGCTATGCCATACTCTTTGGGTCCAGGATATTTGCACATACTATTTCTTCTTCCTGGAATATTCTTCCCCCAACATTTCATCAGGCTAACCCATCTTTCAAATCTCAAATGAAGCATTAATTTATCCAGCAAGTTTTGTTCAAATCCTCAAACTGATTTATTTGCAGCAATTATGGATTCCATAATATCCTATCTTTCTCACTTTACACTTCTTGCTACACCAGCTATTATTTCTATAATAGCTCTACTCACATGGGAATGCAAACTCCAGGAGGATAAGAACCACGTCTGCCTTTCCACATGTCATTCCCAGGGCTTGTCAAATAATGTTTCACATAGAGTAGGTTCCCAGTACGTATTTACTGAATAAATGAATATCTATTATAGTAAAGATTAAGGGCAGATGAATGATGACTGCTTTTATCTGGCATTTATATGCTTCATACCCAGAGATGATTTTAAATCATGATCTTTTAATAATACTTACATTTTTGCCTTCTCATTGTGTATCTGGGATCAGAGAGGATGCTGTCCAGCAACTGATACATCTCTAGATTCCAGCACATTATTGTTCCAATTTTCATATTCTTAGGTAGTGCCATCAGTCTTCCAGAGAGAAGTCCTAGTGTTGCTGCTGCTGTACAATTAAGACCCATTTCAGGTATGAGTTAATCTCAGGTTTTATAGCTAGTAGGAATAAGTCTTCCATTATGTTAGTAACATCTATTGGTTAAGAGATATCCTTGAGATGTATCCACAAAGAGAAAGTATCCTTTTTTCTCCTTTTGATTGTTTTCAGTGCATTTCATTCTTAATCTTTTCTTAATTCCTTTGAAATGTCTGTTCCTCTCTTCTCAAGCCAGTCTATGATAATTGCATTAAATTTATGTCTACTCAGGCTTTATAGATTAATGCTATTAAACCTTGTTTTACTGTCCACTCATTATGCTTTATTCATTAAAAATTGTTCATCTTTGTTAATGTCCTGCCAAATGCTCCACATATGTCATTCTAAAATCAAATGGAGAAGGTGCGCTTATACAGAAGAGTAAACCAAGGCTTAGAGAGGCTAACTGACCTGTTCAAGTCACAAAGATACTAAGTATACAAACTGGGATTTAAACCCAAAGTTCTGCCTCCAGTTCCTTTGAAACTCGCAGTTTGCATTGTGCTATTGTTTTCCTTGCTGAGACAAAAGTTACTTTTAACTCTTTGACCTCCTCTCCCTTAATTTTCTGTATAAAGTGAGCCTTCAAAAAGTACTTGTTTAATTGTTCGCTGAGCTGTTATTATTACTGCTGGATGACAGTATTTGTGGTGTTCTTTCTATTGATTTTTTTCTTTCCCATCCCAAACTGAAGGGAATCTAAGCAGGAGAGGCTGGCAGTGCGGAAAGTGCAACATGGATAACTAAGAGTCGGAAGGAAAACCCTGTCTCAGGTTGTTTTCAAAAAAAAAAAAAAGACAAAATTGCTAAGGTTTCCCCAGTTAGTTACTTGGGGGTTCAAACTGCTTTACGAATCCGCTGGACGTAATGCTAGGAGTCTAAAGTTTGTTTTCCTTTCAGGATGTTCGCTTGTGTAAAAGATTCCCATTGTACACAAGTGTAAAAAGAAATAGAGGAAAATTGGCAATTTTGCTCTATCGTGGGTGTCTATTGTGATTCTTGTAACTCTCAACCTGAGTCATTACAGATAGAAGAATTACAGATTTCACCCCTCTCTCGGTCTCCTTTATGGCGCTGCTGTTCACCTGTCCCTAACTCAGAAACTCCCTGGCTCCCTTGGAGGCACAGACTCTTCAGCTCGCGTTCCCCCCTGGCGAGCTTTCGGATTCCCGCCTCCAGGCCCGCCCGCCCGCCTCCACCCCCCGCTCCGAGTCGTGCCCCCAAGCCGCCCCGGGATGACCCTCTGACCTAGGCTGGGGAGGAGGGAGGTTGTCAAGAGGTAAATGGGTCAGGAGCCGGGCTCGGACCTGGACCGCGAGCCGGCTGGGCGCCGCCGGCCCCCTGCCCCGGCTGCGGGGCGCCTCGGCGGGACGCGCGCGCCGGCTCCTCCCGAAGCCACCGAGGGCTCCGCGGGGTGCGGCGCCGCAGCCGGGGGCGGGGGGGGGGGCGGCAAGGTCGCGGACGTGGGAACCGAGCTGTCTAGTCTACTCGTTAGGGACGTTGGCTTCGGATTCCAATTCTGGTTCCACCTCTAGGCTCCTAGGTGACCTTGGGCAAGTTGCTTCGCTTCAGTGCGCCAGTTTCACAGCCGATATGGGGAAACTGAGGTGATGGCTAAATCCTAGGATTGTTGTGAGCATCGACAACGCACTCCTGGCAAGTAGTAGACGCTCAGTTAATCCGTAGCAATGGTCAGTAAGTAGTAAGAGTGAGAAGCGAAAACTACTCTAGGTCCAAGAATGTAGGTTTGCGCTCTGGCTTTTCCAGTTCCTCACCGAGGAGTGGGGGAGGGGCGGCGGGAGCACCTGCCCTGCCCCCCCTCCCCCCGTTCCAAGATAACTCGGGAGTGGCGGGGAGGCTTCCCCCCAGCCTCGGGGTCGGGCTCCTGAACGCGGCCCAGTCCCCCAGCCTACTGGCAGCTCCGCGCGCCTGCGGCGCGTCTCTTCCTCGAGCTGAGGAAACATTTCTGCCCTGAATTGAGTATCGCCCTCCCTCTCAGATCCCGGAGCTCGCTCGCCGCCTCCTCCGGGTCCCGGCGGCGTGGGGCGTCCGGCAAAGCCTCGGGCAGGAGGGAAGAGGCGGCCTCGGGGTGTGAGAGTCCACCCCCCCCACCCCCCGCCCTGGGAAGGGAAGCAAGGGCGAGGCGGTGCGGACGCAGCGGGGGAACGCCGGGCCCCTTCCTCCTTTTGCTACCTTCTAGAGAGCGCTCTGGCTCTTCGCGTCCCGAGGCACACACAGCCCCGGCAGAGCCAGGTGCCCCTGACCGCCGGGGGCAGAGAGGCCGGGGCCCCGCTCCGCGCGCGGCGGCAGTGGGAGGCGAGCTCCGGCAGGCGAGGTAAGGGGGGGCTGGCGGCGGGTGGGGAGCGCCTGCACGTGCGCGCGCCTGTGCGCGTGCTCAGAGGGGCGCCGGGTGGGGGTCCCGCCCCGGGGCCCCCTGTCCTTCCAGCACCGTGTCCTCCCGCCCAGCCCCCTCGCCCCCGGCACCCAGGCTCCGCGCCAGACACGCGCTTTCTCCACGCCCCTGGGTCCCATCACCCCTCATCCACACCCCACCCTCCCCACTAATAATTTCCCAGCGCAGGATCAGACCCAAACCTGGAGAGACAGCGTTGCCTTTCTGCTCCCCTCGTCCCCCCCCCCCCCCCCCCCCCCCCCAAACAACCCCCCCCCCCCCCCCCCCCCCCCCCCCCCGCTCCTTCTATAAATAATCCGGACTAGCGGGTCAGGCACGTCACACGGCAAGAAACCGGGACCCCGAGGTTTTCTTCTCTGGGAATAGGGGGCAAAGGGTGAGGAGGAGGCGAAAGCAACTGCTCGTGAGTAGTGAAGTAAAGCTTGCTCCTTGACTCCAGAAGAGACCAGGCATCATTTCATTCTTCTTTTCTTTCTTTGTCTTTCTTTATTTTTTATTTTTCCATTTATTCTCTACCACCCCCCCCGCCCCAAATCCAATGGATTGCTCAGCACTTCTCCCATTGGTTTCTTCCCTCCCTCCCCTTCGACTACTGCACCCCCCGTCCCTCCCCTCCCCCCACCCCCGCCGCACAACCCCCACGTCCAGCACACATCTAGCCCCACGCAGGGGATGCTGTTCTCCAGGAAATAAAGTTCAAACGCCTCTCCTCATAGGCTTGCTGAGACCAGAAGTGGGCTCCCGGGCACCCATCTTCCACTAGCACTCCACACCTGCTATCTATTAAATTCTTAATCTGGTTTTGCATATTTAAGAGGAAACATACATACACGCCCCAAAAACGCACAACCGGTGAGGTGCATAACTGCCTCCCGCAACTACCAAAACTTACCAGACGCTCTAGTTGTTTTTGTCTTCACGAAAGGAAAACAAAGATTTTACTCTGGGCCCTCCAGTGGGGTGATATTCAAATATGTATATGTGGTACACATATATGTTTTTCCTTTTTCCCCTTTAATTTTTTTTTTTTTTTTTTTTTTCTTAGCAAGAAAATCTGCTCGGTCCCAGGCAGCCGCTGCTGCCCCTTTGATGTTTTGGTACACCGTGCGCATGCGCCTCACATTAGAATTACTGCACTGGGCAGACTAAGTTGGATCTCCTCTCTTCACTGAAACCCTCAATCCCATCAAAAACTAAAGGGATGTGGAGAGTCCGGAAAAAGGGCTACTTTGGGATTTGGTCATTCCCCTTAATAATCGCCGCTGTCTGTGCGCAGAGGTAAGTGTGGCCAGCATTTCTCTCTTTCATTTCACTTTGAAGGGCTCTGTCTGCATACCTCTGTGAGCAGGGATCTGTAGTGAGAATCAGATAGATGCTGAAGACGCTGTGCCTGCTGCCTCACTGATGCCCGTTTATTGTCTTTTTTTTTTTTTAGTGTCAATGACCCTAGTAATATGTCGCTGGTTAAAGAGACAGTGGATAGACTCCTGAAAGGCTATGACATTCGTCTGAGACCAGATTTTGGAGGTAATGGGGTTGCCTTGGAAATAAGCAGCCTTGCTATACCCTAAGCTGTCTTTTGAGCTTTGTGTGCGCTGTGCCTTCCCTCTCCCTCATTGTTGGCTGCATGTGGCATATTGGATGTATCTCTGTGTTACCATATTGAGAAAGTGATCCAAACTTAAGCCTATTTGTTAGTATCCAGCACTTAGATGGTCCTTCAGTGAGACCCTCTTAGAGTGTATAGGTGACTGCTGGTCTTTAGCTTCACTGCTGAAATCCTTTGCTTCTCCGTCTTTGCTTCATTGAGCTACAAGCCTCTTAAGTTTAGTTAATGGTGTGCCCAGAGAACCTGGCTTACTGGAGGCCATCGTGAACATTTTTGAGAACAAAATGTGCAGGCAATTGGTTGAAAAGTGGCATTAATCCCCTGTGCCCGCCTACTTTGGAAGAGTTCTGGCATGGTTTAAAGTGGCTGATTTCTGGATATTATCCAGTCCTGGAAGCCCCACTGCTTGGGGCGGTGGGAGGGAGGGGATTCGGGAGCGCTAGAAGCTAGGTGGGGAGGTAGGTGGGAGAAGGGCAAAAAACCCTGCAGGCTTAGACACACTGTTATGCCCATTTAATTTTGCTTTAGACTCTTATGAAGTGCAAAGGGTTAAACCTGCTCCCTGGAGGGTGGTGGGAAACAATGAGGAGGAGGGGGTTTTAGTGCAATATAAAATTCCCTCCGGCTAGACTGATTCCTGTGCTTCTGTGAGTTGTGTGTATTCTCATACTGAGACATCTACATATGTAGACAGAATTGGAATCTCTTCCACAAAGGCACGTGTGTGCATGTTCCATAGAGCGCTTCCTAGAGGAGTGCCTGGCCCTCTTTTTAAAAAGGAGCAGAGAAGTGAACAATATGAGGGCAAGCAGGGGGGGAGGGATGTGGTGCAGAATACCCCATGCCCAGGGACAACTCTTGCTGAGAATGAATGAAGTTCTGAGAAATCACGTGGCTGGCAATCTTGGTTTGCAGGTCCCCCTGTGGCCGTGGGAATGAACATTGACATTGCTAGCATCGATATGGTTTCCGAAGTCAATATGGTGAGTACTAAGGTTTATAGTTCTGCCTCTGCAGACCTTCATTTGGGGACAGGAAGTAGGAAGGGGTCAGTCAGTAGGGGTGGCATATGCATGAGTAAGCATATGAAATGCGGGTGGGGGCTAGGAATTTTGCTTTGGAACCCACTGTGTTTGAGGTTTCAGAGCCCTTGCTTTTTAGTCCCTAAGGATTTTTCCAACCTGGTTCGGATACTTGAGAATTGGTACAGAGCAAGTAAAATCCACCATAATTCACATGCAAAACTCAACCACATGCACAAGATCCCTTGCAGAAGCCACATTTCCTAAGGTTTAATGGGAAACCAGGTTCATCAAATGATTTTCTAAGTTTGGAGTGGGGTCAGGAAAAGAGGGAAGGGTTTTAATGATATTTTGCAAGGAATATAACCTTACAAACTAAACTGTCGCAAAGAGGCTGAATAAATGACGCTGGGATACAGATGTCCACTTGTTGCTTTCAGAGATGGCTTCTTTACAAGCTGATGTAAGTCACCTCCCCCTACAATTGTTCACCTGCTCTTTTAATGTCTCTTCCCCACAAAATAAATAACAAAAATTGGCCACCCTGTTTTCTAAAGGCAGGCTCAGACCCATGTGCCCTATCTAGTCACTTCTGCAATGTTATTCACTGTATGTCCTAAGTTGTACAGTTTATGGACAGCAGCACTCCTTAGTGGCTACCTCCTTGGACTTGGGGCAAATGTTAAGAGTAAAAGCCTCTGTGTTCCGGACCAGAGACACTTGTGGGGGGTTTGTTTCATGCAGGAGCGCCCCCTGCTGCTCATGTGGGGGCACTGCAGACAGACAAAATGACGTGTCCTAGATACCCCTGATTACTTGGGCTGCTTCTTTTTCCTGTGACTTTTCTACTTTGTGTTGTTAAAGTTTTCTCCTTTGGAAAAGTCTCTAGAAAGGCCATGTTTGAATGTAAGATGGAAATGTTACTTTCAATCTTGAAAACACACTGCACATTTCAGAAGAGTGTATTGTGGCATGGTTCTTCCTAGAAATGAAATGCACTAAGAAAGAAAAGGGTATAGCATGTACAGTTTTATGTGGAAGACTTCTCAGCCAGCCATCAGGACTTGAAAGTTAGGACATTTACTGATTAATTCAAGAGAGCAAAAGTAGTTGATATACTCTTAACATTATGCAAATTTTCATATTCCCAAAATTTAAATAGAAAGCAAGCTTAAACAACTAATCCTATCCCTATACTATACACTGTCCAAAGACAGGTGATAGTCATGAGGTATTATGACATTATAAAACATAAGTATTCCATGGAGTATTCAGCTGTTTCCATAAAGTCTCCACAAAATTTTAATGTCGTGTATCTCCGTATATTCTAATTTATGGGAAGGTGTGTTGTTTTTTTTTTCATATAGGATATAAACACAGGCTGAGACAATATTGGGTGATTCAGAACCACAGATTTCCTACATATTTTGAAAATCCCCTGTGTGTCTAGAGAATGTATCTTCCTTGGGGAACTCAGATACACAAATAGTCACTTTTGTGGGATTATGGAGATTTTTCATTTGTTTAAATTTTGAGTTTTACCATAAAAATTTTATAATGCCCTAATGTGGGTACTTCCTAAGTTCCAAAGACTTGAAACTAAATTGTGTTTCTAGAAACAAAGTGATATAGAAATCAGGTGTGGTTCTGTGCATCCTACATGTGGTTAAATTAGACTACTTTCTTTTGCTTTTTGATTTATTTATGTTATATGGAAAATTATGAAATAGATTCTAAACAGACAATGAAATGATTAGAAATTGCAGTGATAGGTTAGCTAAGAACTTAGATATATTATACCCCCCAATTGTTTAGAGTAGTGGTGTGTGTGTGTGTGTATGTGTGTGTGTTTTAAATTTTGTTCACCTTTTAACTGCATGTAACATTTCGGAGAGGTATCTGAGCTGGACACAATGCCAACATCTGCTAGTCAAAATATAGACCCAGCTAAGGTGGGGTGACATCTCTTAAAGCTATTTACTGTTGCTGAAAAATCATGGGATGTTGAAAGTGCAAAAACAAATGTCAGGTTGTAAATAGGCCAGTACTGCAGCATTAATGATTAGAACGAAGTGTTAAACATTCCATGCCAGATTCCTTTATTAGCCTACTGCTACCACATGTGAGCTTGTCCAGACACATTTTTACTTGTTGAAAAATTAACACTTATTTCAGCTAACAATCATAGTGACTTTAAGTTAATCCTTCAAAGAAAACATTTGTGATGTATGTTATTTTTAAGTATGCTTATTTGATTTGAAGCAACAGATGGGAAACTTCATCACTGGTGTGTAAATAAAGGAAGAAGATGTTAGTGGCATATTATCCCTTGTATACAGGTCTAAAAGTGTTAGTATCTCTTGATTATTTTTAGTTCTGAAAGAATGGTTGACTGTTTTAAATGAAACCTCAAAATTGATTAACATACATGTTTTTGCCTCATTGTCTTTTGTTACCTACAACCTCTGGTAATTTGAACTTTCTTTTACTATGGCAGATTTTTCTTTGAAGGATGGTAGGCACCCGACCACTTAGATTGTCACTGACTCATTTGTTCTGAAGTAAAAGACCCATGTCAGAGTGATGTTCCTGGTAAATGACAATAATAGAAAAATCTGAACCAAATCAGGAGTCTTGAATACTAGTTCTGCTTCTGTTGGTTGGCCAGCCTAGAGAATTCACAGATAGTTGGAACTCAATTTCCTCACCTGTTAAAGGGGAGGAATAGTCCCATTATACCTATCTCAGGTGATTACCAGAATTAATAAAACTATATATGAGAAAGTACTGATGTTCCATCAACATAGCTTATGTGGAAGATTGAATAATAGGTTATCATTCAAGAGAATCCTTGTCTACTCCAGCTCCTTCCCTAAAGACACCATACCAGGTCTCAGTTGTTTTTTTTATTTTTTATGTTTGAATTGAGAGGGAACATATTAATTTGACTTTCAACTCAAAGTTACATGTGTTTCTCGTTTCATTTATTTAATAGCTCTGTTGAGTACAAAGAAGTTCCATGAAAACATGGAAATCTAGCATAAATGTAAGGAAAATGCAGAATTCCTAAATGTCATACAGTTGTGAGTTCTTACTGAGGAAGATGAGGACGGCAGCTTACTCAGGTGACTGTCGGCCCAATGCTAGATCTTTGGAAGAATGTGATTTCAATTAGAATGCTCCTGAGTGGAAAGCTTGGCTCTAGAATGAAATATTTTTAGATGTTGGTTACATTGGCAGGAATCTTTTTGTTAAGGTTCTTTGATGAAAAGTGCATTTTAAGATCCAAAATTGGCTCTGAGAATTATGGACTGAAATAGCTTTCTCTTCATTTAAAGTAGATTCTTCTCCATCTTGAAACAACACATTTGCCAACCAAAGAGTGAAGCAATATTTCACTTTTGAGGAAAGAGTTCTAGTAAACACACACACAAATTACCTTTTTATGGAATGGCGAATGGAGAAAAGCGCTGCCTTTTTTAAAAAACAGATGTTTTCTTGCATCACCAGATGCACAGCTTAAAATTCAATTCAACACAAATGCTTATTTAGCAGCTACTATGATCCAGCCATTTGTTAGGCCTCAGAGACAGAGCAATGAACAAGATTGATTTGTCTCCTGACCTCATGAGACTTAATATCTAGGTGTTCACTATTCTTAATTCTTCAGTAGACTCTTCCTCTATTTGTGCTTAGCATAAGTCTTGTCTTTTCTCTAAGGGTTTTTTTTTTTTTTTTTACGAACAGCCAACTGAGTACCTAGTGGTCCATTACTCCAATGAGTTCCTTTGTCACTTGTTGGTTTCACCATTCATTTGTTATTTGCCGTTTCAGATGCTGTTTATGTTACATATTCATTCTGTTTTCATAATCATGTTTATAATCTACATGTAGACATAGTTATAGTATATCTCTCCATGTGGTTTTGTTCTATATACAATGGTTGGTTGGATCTTAGACTCTGGATGAATGCCACAAATATTGGGTGAACTATTTGTTGTCATAGCAGAAATTTGTTACTATTCACTAGACACTGTACCATATATGTGGAGGAACAGAGTATAGAATCATAGTCCTCAAATTCAAGGGCATTCGTTGTTTAATAAAGAAAAAAATCACAATACAGGATTGTACGTGCTTTGAAAGAAGAAATACAAAGGGCATATTGGGAATACAAAATACTGAGATACCACATAGAAATTACTAGGTGAAGAAATGACTAGAAATTAGTGGGCTGTGGATAGATGTTCCGAGTAGAAACAATGGCACATAGGAGAAGAAGACACAGAAAGATAAACGGGGTTAAAAATTTGCAAGTAACTTTAAATGGCTGGAATTGGGAGTGGGAGTAAGGAGGTGATGAGAGCTGGTGGTGATCAAATTATGGAGACCATTTCTGTAGCTTGAAGAGTTAAATTTTGTTCCAAAGGCTGGGGTTTCTATGAAAGGATCTGAATAGGAGAATTGCATGAACAGATTCACACTTCAGGAAGATGCTTCTGAAATATAAGTTAAGAAAGACTTAAGTTGGGAGATAAAATGAAAACTTATCGCAAAAATCCAGGAAAAATTGATGAATTGAGGCAGGGATGTAAAATAGAAGATATAAAACCAGCATATTTACAAGGTAGAAGCAAAAGGACCTGATGAAACTCAAATATCTAGTGGTAGTATTTATTAATATGGAGAACACAAAAGAGGCATCCAAGTTGGAGGTGGAGTGAAGGGTTAGGTGTACAGGTACATGGTAAGCTCAGTTTGTGATATGTTGACTTTTCTACACAATTTCCCAATAGGGATTGGGAAATACAGATCTAGAGATACGTAAGAAGCCATAACTAGAGAGATGAATTTGGACATTGTCAGCCTGTAAGTAGTAGTTATAGTAGTATGAATGGATAAAATTAAAAAGGAAAAGTGAAAAGACAGCTACAAATGAAGGGCTGGTAAGCATAACAAGT